GATGTCACTACAATGTGCAGGTTCGTCCAACCTCTCGATGGTAATCTGGGGAGCTTCATTTTCCCACCTGACTTTGAATATATAAGACATGGTGGCTAGCGCGTCCGCTAACTGATTCTCCTCTCTGGGGAAATGTTCAAAGGTTATCTCCTCGAAGTGTGGAAGCAACGTCAGTACATACTCCTTGTATGGAATAAGATTTGGGTGCTTTGTATCCCACTCGCCTTTGATCTGACTGATCACTAGAGAAGAATCTCCGAATACACTCAAGAACTTAATCCTCATGTCAATAGCAGCTCGAAGACCCAGGAAACATGCTTTATACTCCGCCATATTGTTGGTGCAGTTAAAACATAATCGGGCGGTGAACGAAGTATGACAGCCCTCCGGAGATATAATCATAGTGCTAATACCACTACCCAAACGCATTTGAGGCTCCATCAAAATACATAGACCATCGGGATCCTTCCTCAGGTCCTTCATCCGGTCCAGGTTCTTCACAGTCGGTCACAAACATGATGTTCTCGTCCGGGAACTCGAAATTCATGGAATGGTAATCATCCACGGCCTGATGTGCCAAATGATCTGCCAATACAATCCCCTTGATTGCTTTCTGGGTTGTGTATTGGATGTCATACTCAATCAAGATCATCTGCCATCTTGCTATTCTTCCGGACAAGGCAGGCTTTTCAAAGATATACTTGATCGGATCCATCTTTGATATCAATAGGGTAGTGTGAGTCAGCATATACTGTCTCAGCCGGCGAGCAGCCCATGCCAAAGCACAGAAAATTTTCTCGAGCAACAAGTATCGGGTCTCGCAGTCGGTAAAATTTTTTCTAAGGTAGTAAATATCATGCTCTTTTCGGCCAGACTCGTCATGTTGCCCCAGCACGCACCCCTTTGAATTATCCAACATTGTCAAGTATAAGATCAAAGGTCTTCCTTCAACCGGAGGCATCAGAATTGGTGGCTCTTAGAGATATTCTTTGATCCTTTCGAAAGCGGTCTGACATTCATCATTCCATTTTACCACTTGATCTTTCTTCAACAGCTTGAAGATCGGCTCACAAGTAGTAGTCAGGTGTGAAATGAATCTTGCAATGTAATTTAGACGTTCCAAAAAGCCTCTGACCTCCTTTTCGGTGCGGGGAGCTGGTATCTCCTGTATGGCTTTTACCTTGGCAGGGTCCACCTGAATACCTTTATCACTAACGACGAAACCCAGCAACTTACCAGACCTTACCTTGAAGGTGCACTTGTTCGGGTTCAACCTCAGCTTGTACATCTTCAACCTGTCAAATAGCTTCTGTAGATGGTCAAGGTGTTCTTCCTTAGTTTGGGACCTTGTGATCATGTCATCAACGTAAACCTCAATCTCATGGTGAATCATGTCATGAAACAAAGCGACTATAGCACGCTGATAAGTTGCCCCAACATTCTTCAACCCAAAAAGCATTACCTTGTAACAAAAGGTGCCCCACTGTGTAATGAAGGTTGTCTTCTCCATATCTTCGGGAGCCATCTTAATCTTGTTGTAACCAGAGAAACCATCCATGAAGGAGAAGATCTTGTGTTGTACGGTGTTGTCGACCAAAACATCAATGTGAGGTAGTGGAAAGTCATCTTTGGGGCTCGCCCTGTTCATATCTCTATAGTCCACACACATCCGTACCTTACCATCTTTCTTAGGCACCGAAACAACATTGGTAACCCACTGTGGATAAGAAGTGACAGCTAAAAATCCCGCGTCGAACTGTTTCATGACCTCAACTTTGATTTTCTCAGACATTTCAGGGCACATACGGCGAACCTTCTGCTTTACCGGAGGGCAGTCTTCTTTGGTTGGCAGGCGATGAACCACAATATCAGTGTCCAAACCAGGCATATCTTCGTAAGACCAACAAAGATCTCAACATAGTCACGTAGAATTTTTATTAACCTCTGTTTGACACTAGGCTCCAGATTCACACCTATCTTAACCTCTTTCCTGCCTTCATCTGTACCTAAGCTTACTGATTCAACTGGCTCTTCATGAGGCTGTATGGACCTCTCTTCCTGCAGTAACAGTCTAGCAAGTTCTCCAGGAACCTCACAATGACCCTCACCTTCATCCTCAGCTTGGTTGATCGGATTTTCGAAGTCATAACTGGCAGTAGCAGAGTCGTTATCAGTGGGATCCAGAGTGGATATGGATCTGCATTATGATACGTGAGTGTGTGTAAGATCATAGCTGTTTAAATAAAGTGAGAGACAGAAAAGAAAAACAAGGAGCGCAAAATTTTTAATGCAAGAAACATCCAATGCTTTATTAATGATATATGAAAATGACAAATAATAAGCCCTCATAAGCAAGGCCAAGGTGCCTCGGGCAAGGCACCAGGCCGTAAAGTTTCAAACTGTTTATTACAACTCTTAAAACAAAAGTTAATTACTGTGGAATAAAAGAAACAAGTATGAATTCTTTTGTTGTCCAGTTATTCAAGCCACCATTGGTTGTAGTGTAGATCCAGCTGTCGATATCTGAACCCTCGTCATCATCTTCAATTGCATTTACTCCCTGATTACTGATGTGTAGAGGAGGTCTTCCAATCCGTGCGCGCTGAACAACCCTTTGAGCCTCTGCAGTAAAGCCCAAACCAAGCTTGTCAGTCTTGTGTGTGAAATCAGGAAGCTGACCCCAATTTGCACACCCACCTTTTTCAATTACAGCTCTGGAATCCTTTAGGGAAGCCATCTTCATCGGAGATTTATCGGTAGTAACTTCAGTTGACGCCAAAGTCTGGGGGACTTCTTCAAAGTTCTGACAAGGGGTTTCGATGAAATCCCCATCCATCTCCACATAGCGAAAGGAATTGAGATGACTCACCATATACTCCTCTTCACCTTGTACTGTGACAATCTTCCCATTTGCCGGATATTTTAGCTTTTGATGGAGCGTTGAAGTCACTGCCCCAGCCTTATGAATCCAGGGACGACCCAACAAGCAAGAATATGATGGTCTAATGTCTATTACGTAGAAGGTGGATCCAAAAGTTTGAGAGCCCACTTTAACAGGGATGTCCACTTCCCCGTGTACCATCCTTTTTGACCCGTCAAAAGCCCTGACCACAATATTACTCGACTTCAGAATCAAACCTTCACAGTCCAGGCGGTCTAATGCTTTCTTTGGCAAAACATTCAAAGAGGACCCAGTATCCACCAGTACATGGGCCATAGTGGTGCCCCTGCACTCAACCGAGACGTGTAGAGCATCATTGTGATTTCTTCCTTTAGTAGTCAGATCTTCATCTGAGAAACCCAACCCATTGTCGACAGTCAAACTAGCTATGCAATCTTTGAATTGATCGACCGAAGTTTCCTGTGGCGCATGCGCAGTCTTGAGGAATGCAATGAGATCCTTTGCATGGGCTTCAGAACACAACAATAAGGACAACATGGAGATTTTTGACGGGGTTTGCCCCAGCTGTTCGACTACGTTGTAGTCGCTCTTCTTGATAATCTTCAGAATTTCCTCTATCTCTTGTTTAGAGGCTTCCAACACAACCTTTCTAGGTGCCTCTGTCCGGGCAGGCTCACCTGTGGTTTCTTTGCCCCGAGTCTCAGATGACTTGGTGACAGGAGTGATAACTGGAGTAAGAATTGGATTAGTAGCTGATGTACTGGCAGATGGAATGACATCAGGTTTTTGAACAGTCAGAGGGGAAATCTAGGGAGAAAAGAGACTTCCACTTCTGGTGACCTTGCTGGCCCCGATGATATTACTGACATCAGTATCAGCTTCCTTATTTTTAAAGTCTTGTTTAACCCCATGGTAATATACATCAGCACCATAGTGCCATGGGACAACCTTGTCTGAAGTGTATGGGATAGGACCAGGAATAGTAATGATCAACAGAGTGAGTCTTGGAATGGGTGTAATCCTAACAGGCGTTCTCGAGGAAGCCTTGGGAGGATTGGCGGAAATGGTTATGATGGCAACATCTTCAATCGGAACTGACATAATCATAGTTTTCTCAAACAGGATCTCTCTATTATCCATCAGGCATTGAACACCTGATTTCAATAAGTGGCAACCAGCAGGAAGAACTGAACATATGTGGAAACCTCCACCACAACCCGGAAATAAACCGGCCAACAACAAATTCTTCTTAACCGTCATCAAAGGAGTAGAAATTTCTTCCACGGAGGTCACAAATAAATCATCGTCCACAACATTTACTCCATGACCATGTTTCACTACAAGAAAAATGATAGATTGGGACGGTTATTTTGGTTGATTACGACGGTTAAAACCGTCGCAATTTACAATCTACGACGGTAGAAGTACCATCGCAGAATCGTGCGTCCCCAGCCTATTTCGCGACGGTTGCAAAAACTGTCACGCACAACAGATAGCGACGGTTATATACCGTCGTGAATTTGACTTTATTTTTTGTTTTTGTTGTTGTTTGCGACGGTTATTCTACCGCCGTAGGTTAGAAATTGCGGCGGTTTTAACCGTCGTAATCTGATTTATAAATTTCAAATAATATTTTTATTTAAATTATTATTTAGTAAAATAATTTTAAATATAATATTATTTTACTATAATATTTTACTATTATATTTAAATTATTATTTACTTTAATATTTTTTTATTTATAGTATTTTTATTTTATTTTCTATCACTTTTCAACATAATAAAGTTAATTACAATAAAAACATTTAATATCAAATAATCATCAATAATATCAAAAAAATGTGATCAAAGGTAAAAAGAAGTGCAAATTTTACCAATAAACAAGAAAAATTCAAATATCATCAAAGGCCAAATTTCATTTTAATATTTACATTGGTTTGCTACAACTTGAGAGAATTACAAAAAATGTTACATTTATTCCTAACTCTTGTTCCTCATCCCACCATGACTCCCAACTCTTGTTTGAAGAAACACCAATACCACCTCGACTACTAATCCATTTATTCCAATCATCCCAGTCCTCAACTATCTTCTGCCATTAAAATCCTGATGGATTGAAAAGGAAAGGAGCAAACAACCAAGAGCTAACCAAAAACCACATTGACCATGACAGAAATGCGTATGCTGCTGAGTCAGTTGTTGCTGATCCATAAATCATATAACAAATGAGCAATATTGTGAGCTCAATCCCTTTGACAAAGTGACTCCTAGAGTACATCCTGTAATTGTCTGCAAACTTTTCATGACGAACGACAAATCCATGCCCAGTTGCTCTGTACTTTGCCCCTCCATGCAGGAGAGTGCGCCCAAAATAGTGCATTTTCGTTCCAAGCGAGAAAGTAAAGAAAACAGGTGCCAGCTGTAACTGCATTATTATTATGCAGGCGAGCACATGAAGATTAAAAAATAAAATGTACATTTTATAATGGTAAAGTAGAAAGAGAAAGAACGTAGGATAGTTACGATTTCCATGGAGTGTGGATCAGAAGAGAGGCCTTCCTCAGAGGCAAGGGAGAGAGCAAGGTCACGAACCCTCCAAACATGCACTGCATCGTGAGAAGCATCATTCCCTTTCATTGCTTTCTCAACCAACGCCTCAGCTTTTCTTACCCTCTCTTTCCTCTCCATCTCCATCCTCTCTCTAGTTCCAGGAACTGCAGTTGCGCACCTCACTCGGCCAATATATTTTCTTCTACTATCTTTGCAAAATAAAAATCTGCACCCTAGTCCATGAAACAATTAGAGCTTTCAATTTATCACACTCAACACCGGCCCAATGTGTTTCAAAGTCGTCAAAAACAAGACCAAAAGCTTGTTTCAAAATGTGTACAGAATAGTGAGGAAAATACAGTTCAGTGACATACTTGAATTCACAGTAAGGTTGTTAGTTTTCCTGAGTATGTCAATGTTTCTCACTCCAGTCAACAATAATGCAACTCTAGTATCCTGAATCAAAATCAAAATCAAAAGTGTCTCAGGATGTTAGATTATTTCAATCATAATGAATACACATAACCAATGCACATTAAAAATTGAAATATAACAACAACAAAAAATACAACCTTATTATGTTTCAATTCGATAGGGCAACTTACATAAACATTCAGATAAACAACAAATTCCAAGCAAAACAAGCATAAGAGTTCAAAATAATGCGTCAAAATAATATACCTGTCTTCCACTAAAATTATGCATTTGCATTAAGAGTTCAATTTCCTATGATGAACTCCTTTTATCTAGTTATTATGCAAATTTGTCACTCACAATAGAACCCGATGAATGATGATAAAATGTTGTAGAACCCTTAGGGTGATGATAAACAACACCAGTGTGAATGCTGGAGCTGCAATAGGCTTTGCCTAACATCTTTCCTCTGAGCAAAAGCAACATACAGTGGTTTTCCGTGAAACATGCGTCCTGTGGCATATAACATCAATTTAAATAATCAATAAGTAACATTTATGTAGAAAAACAAAAACCTTCCAGTGAATTGTTTCTACCAATCATCATAAGGCAAAACGAACAACTCCATATTGATAATTACTAAATGCTCTATTTTCTACATTATCTACTTCATGCTTTGAACTTTACAGCATTTTAAGGAAGTAATTAAAAAAATGCATCCTCCAATATTAAATCTACCTAAAGCAATGTAATTTACCTGCACAGACCTGCCACCATCAAGGCACCCCACTGGAAGCATGTTAAAAGCTTGGATGGTTTAACCATGCCTGCATAATTGAAAGCGACAACAGAGTTTCTTTCAGCCACGGAACACAAAATAAAAAGCAATCAATATTTTATTTGTTTATGTTTCTAAATTGCATATCTGCCTAAGGATATTACAAACAATATAACTTCCTATTCCACATAGAGTAAATCATATCATGTATTTGGTGTTTAACCATTACTGATAATTTGGCACAAATCATATAACTTCAATTCAAACTCAAACCTAATCAACTCTATTCAAGACTATGTTTGCGAAACACTCATCCATAATAACAATTCACTCATTATCTTCAAAAAAATAGAAACTAACCGTGCAGCGCATCACCCTAATCAGCATGATCAAGTGTACAAGACAAAATATCAGGTTGTGATGATAACTTTGAAGCTCTAAAATGCATGTAAGTCATGTTTATAGACAAGTAATTAGAAATTGAGTATGATACTAATATAACTTCAATATTAGATTTTGAAATAAAGTTGAAGTCGAATCGTGCAGGTAATACTTGAGTTTGATCTTGTTAGGAGATTTGGGGGCAAAAATGGTTCCAATGCCAAGATTTAGTATATGACCAGATATGATATTTCTATCATGAATATTATTTAACTCTATCAGATCTTCCTTTTCACTTGTGTGGTACGGTATGCCAAGCTCTACAAGTACTTCATAATCATCTTCACTGTGTCAAAATATCTACTAATCAAACAAATTGCAGACATCAGATCTGCTTGTTGAGTCCAATCATTTATTCTGTCCTTTGGGAGACTGCACCCTCGGACAATTGGACTCTAACTGAGATTGACAGCAGGAGACTGTCCACAACATATGCGATTGCCAAAGTCAGGCTAGTGAACTGAAGAATGGAAAAAACATCCAAGTTGAACTTTGGTAACGGAACTGCATAAGCCTTCTATGACCACTAAGATTGAAAATAAGGCAAGTGGGCTAGCATCTAGAATGGGAAAAATACTAACTATTAACAAGATTGATTAGTATTGTAAGAAAATTTGTGAATTTGTATTCTCTGAAATTAGAGCAACGCAACTACATTAGGTAATGCAATGGTACTAAATAACTCAGAGACTAAAATTGTGCACCTGTAATTTGATAAGGAAGCTGCTTGCGATTCTCTTTGTTGATTTGCACAAACTGACTCTTTAGTTCTTCGTCACTAACACTATCATCAATGTTCTTCACATAAATGTTTGATCCCTGAAAGTTAAAATGGTGGCAAACTAAGAAAGCTGAAATTAATTAGTCAACTATAGGAAAAAGGGTATGGAATTACCTTGTATTTCAAGTTTTTCTCCATGCATCTTTCTGCAAACCACTGATGCAAGATCTTCTCACGTTCAACCTTTTTTTGTGCTCTTGCAACATACAGGTTCTTTGAACCTAGTTATGACAAATCAAAACCAGATATACACAGAGAATCAACATCCAGAAAAGTGCAACTTTGAGCATAAAAGACCTATGTACTAAAAAGATAAGTAAATTACCAAATTGTGATCCATTCATTGCTTCTGTTGCTCGTCTTGCATCATCCGGGTTTTCATAGTTCATAAATCCTCCACCTTCATTTAGACACAAATTTCGAAAGAAGGGAAATAATATCAGTAAAAGGGGAAGATAACAGGTATTACGACAACAGGATAAAAAACAGTGAACTAAGTACCTGTTTACTTTGAAAAATCAATTTATATGTTAAGTTTCTAAAATTGTGTTAGTTTAACTTGTTAACAATGAAAGAGACTATTTAAGCGAGTCATTGTGAAAGAGAAAAGATAAAATACTATCTAGGGATGGTACATTTCAGGAAATCATGAAAATAGCTCCTTTGACATTTTTGTTGTTTCCAGAAATGCAAGACTATTTATTCTCCTTGTTAAAGAGGAAAACCGACAGAAATTTCCAGTAGAAGATGTTTTCACAAAGTAAATGGTTGGGGTTACACCCAAGCAAACCAAATGGTTTCAGAATACTCCTCTCATAACTTGTGATTAGTTGCCACAACTCAGATAATATTATATAATTGCTATCAATACTCGAGATTAGAAACTTGAAACCAAATAAAACAGAAACTAATGTATAAAAAAATAAATATTGCACACAACTTACAAGAGGAATGTAGGGGGCCTTTCCAAGTCTTGGAATGCACAACTTGGAAAGATTGGAATCAATCTCCAAAGAAGCAAAATCAATCCACTGGTCAACATGAGCCTGAAAGACAAGAATACAGATAGAAGAGGACATGAGGCCAGGTATATTAATTAATAACGATAATTCAACACATGGATATATCATAAACAAATCGAGTAGTACCAGATCAATGGGAGAAGATCCAAACAAATTGTTATCACCCAATCGGGCAACTGCAGCAAAACCAAAGAAAAGGAAATAACAATAACATTACAACGGAGAACAAGTACATAAACAGATATGTGTAAGCAGTAAGCGTGTACCATAACGGGCAATTGCATTGCTCTCAAAGACGGCACCGTCAGGGGTTTCCAAGACCGGAACCTGGAAAGAAAATCGTGTATGATAATTAAGTAAAAGGAAGTTTCAGACTTAATATTTATAAGGGACAAATTGAGGATGCATGGATAATCTACCTTTCCAATAGGGTTCAACTTGAGAAACTGGGGGGTTTTATTAGAGACACCCATCTGAAAATCTGGAGCCAATTGAACATTGACACCAACATACTCTGCAGCAATCAGAGTCTTGAAAACATTTTTGTTTGCAGAGGCGGCGTGCAGGATCTACAGAATAAACAATTACACGAAATTGCAATCAGAATAGTTACCAAATTACCAAATTGTGATCCATTCATTGCTTCTGTTGCTCGTCTTGCATCATCCGGGTTTTCATAGTTCATAAATCCAAAACCTTTTGACAACCCCTTCTCATCCTTTACAATAGCCAAGCTAAGAATTTTTCCAAAAGATGAGAACTTTTCTTTAAGAAGTGCTTCGGTAATATCTGGGTCCAAATTCTTAACGTACAAGTTTGTATATTTGGCATCAGGTTCAGGCAAAGAGCGCTCACTTTTTCTGATAAATTTCCCAACATATCTGTGAGAAGAAATGGAATCAGATTATCAAAACCAATCTTAAGATAACTAAAAGAGATGAAGGTACGGAGTCGACCGATAAAGTTTCACGGAATAAAGAAGAGGATAATATAACTGCATCATATTCTTGTAATAGCCTAGAATAGTATCCACCAGAGTGAGTTACTCCATTCCCAAGTGAGTCCAACAAGTTTCCGTTGACAGAAAGAGAATACCTGTAATGCAGAAATAGCTCCAAATGAATGTTTAGAGAAAAGCAAGTTGGAGTATATGTGTAAAAATAGAGATGAAAATGAATTACCTCAAAGTAAGCAGAGGCTTCTGGGTCAACATGTGATGAATATAACCCTCATTGAGGCCCTTACACAATTCTTCCTCAACACCAACAACAACTTCAATTCCAGCACCTCTCAATCTATCTAACCCTTTGGAAGCCACGATAGGATTTGGATCCACCATCCCAACAACAACCTTTTTAAGTCTAGCTTTAATGAGAACTTCAGTGCAAGGCGGAGTCCTCCCAAAATGATTACAAGGTTCTAAAGTGACATACGCCGTTGCATTCTCGTCCAAATCAGCAGCATCTCTCAGAGCAAACACCTGAAAAATCTCAGAAATAGAAATGCAGTGACACGAAAATGATGATTTGAATTCAAAGAGTGTGAAACAAGTCTCACCTCAGCATGAGGTTGACCAGGTTTAGGATGAAAACCTTGGCCAACAATTTGACCATCTTTGACAATAACACATCCAACTAAAGGATTGGGGCTTGTACACCCCAAAGCCTTTCTGGCGAGCTCAACGCTTTTCCTCATGTAAAATCCATCGACATCACCATCATCGTCACGATTCTTTTGGGAACGAATGACATAGCTACTCTTCCCACGAGTTAGTCTGTCCCTGAATGTAAGTGATTTGGAAAAGCCATGATTCAAATTGAGGGGAATGGGTGGATGAGGAGAGGCATTGATGCATAATCTGGAATGGTAAAATGGAACTGAAACTGCTACTGATAACCCCATTGCTTGCATGGTTGGAATGATGTGAAATGTGATTTGGTTTGGCACTCCGATTCACAAACAAACCTCTGTGAAATAGTGATGGAAAGGGCAGAGATTTAAGAGGAGCAGAACAGCGTCAGCAACGTGATCCGCGCCAATTTGTTTTTTCCTTTTCACGCACAGTATTCCATTGACAAGACTGAACAGATTTATTGAGCCCGACGCGGAAGATTAGGGTTTGGTGAATGTGTTTAGCGGAAGGAGAGGAAAAAGGTTTGAAAGAGACATTCAAATCCTGAGAGGCCAGGAATGAATTGATGGTTGCGGTTGCGTTCTGTTGGTACGAACGGTCTTTGTAAACGTCGAGAGAATGGATTCCGACGGAGGATGGACGGCTACTGGCTAAACTCACGTCAGAGTCACGGTGGCTGTTTAGTGGAGTTGGTGGTAAGTAGGCCGACTCTTTCGGTTGCCGACGAACGTTGCTGCTTCCGCCGGGAGGTCTCATCTTCTTCCGACGAACGAAGGGATTGTAATAGTTTGGGAGGAATGGTGAAAGCGGGTTTCAAAACTTTTTGGAAGAACCATACGAACCTTAGGTCGAGAATTTTTGTATTTTCTTCGTGAGTAGAAAAAATGAACGCAGGAGTAGAAAGTGAAGAGCTTTTTAACTTTTTTACGGCGACGGGTGTTTTACCGTCGTGTCCATGAGAATTTTTAAAGGTTTTGGGTGCGACGGTTGTTTTACCGTCGTGAAATGAATTTTAGGACGGATAATTTTACCGTCGTGAAAGGTTTAAGGGTGCGACGGGTGCTTTACCGTCGTGATATGCCTTTTAGGACGGTTAATTTTACCGTCGTGACTAGTTGTTGGTGAAAAATCAATGTTAAAAGTGTTAAATGGGGGCCGACGGTTGTTTTACCGTCGTAATAATAATATTATGATGGTTAATTATACCATCGCAAAATAAATATTAGGGACGGTTGGTGTCAACTGTCGTAAACACTGTCTCTATATGTCAATTACGACAGTTATCACATAACTGTCGCAATTTTTGTGTCGTTAAACACTAATTTTCTTGTAGTGTTTGGGCATAGGAGCAGTTATGACGTTGGGCTTCTCTAGAGCATCAAACTCAATTTACTTAGCCTCGATCAAGTCTTGTACTTTGTTTCTCAAAGCCTAACAGTTGTTTGTATCATGACCTAGGCTATCGGAGTGATAGGCGCAACGAGCATTCAGGTTATATTGAGGAGAAGTGGTGTCGGGATTCTTCGGGGCCTCCCTCAGAGCTAATAGGTTGGCCTTCAATAACTGTGGTAAAATTTGAGACAAGGGCATATTGAGCCGAGTGTACCGTCTCTGTGGTCTTTCCACCCTTGGTTGATGGTTGCGTTGTGGAGCAACTGTGGGTCTTGATATTACTACCGCATTTACCGCTTGACGGTGTTCGGGTCTTCTTTGGCCCCTCGGGCCGTAGACTGCACTAGCTTCCTTTTACCGGTGAAAGGCTTCTTCACTGCACTTAATGAAGTATCCTTCTGTATCTTACCACTTTGGATACCAACTTCTACTCTCTCTCCAGTCATAATCAATTAAGTAAACCCATATGACGAACTGCCAATCAGATGATTGAAAAATGGACCAGATAATGTCCCCAAGAACATGTCGACTAACTCTCGATCAGACAAAGGGGGTTGAACCCTACAAGCCAAATCTCTCCACTTTTGAGCATAGTCCTTAAAACCTTCACTTGCACCCATGGACATACTCTGAAGTTAAGTACGCGTGGGAGCGAGGTCGGCATTATACTGGTACTGTCTGTAAAAAGTAGCAGCAAGGTCTTCCCAGTTTCGGACGTTGGCTCCTTCCAATTGATAAAACCATTCAAGCTGAGTCCTTGACAGACTATCTTGAAAGAAATGCACCCATAAATTTCTATCAGCAGTGTGGGGTTGGATTTTCCTGACATACGAGCGGAGATGGAGTTTTGGACAGGATACTCCATCGTACTTGGAAAAAACTGGAGCTTTGAACTTGTGAGGGATCACCACTCCTGACACCAGTCCTAGATCCTTGAAATCCAAACCAGGGATCTTCTGAATCTCCATAGCACTCAGACGGTCTTCGAGTTGTTTGTACCTATCCTCAGCAGGAGGATATTGCTCCTCATCAAAATCAGTATCATTATCAGAGACTACCGGACTGGGAACATTTTCTTCTTCTTGGTCTTCCTCTCCTTTGGATGAAAGAGACAGATCATCTTCCTGTCGCAACCTATTCCCAAATCTGTTACCCATATTCAGAAGAACCATCTTCTTCTTCTTCTTCTTTTCCTTCAGGATGAGAGTCTTCAAATTCTCTTGCCCTTTAGCCAAGTTCAAGAACATCTCTTGGAATTGGGCATTCTGTGCCTGAAGAGCTTTGATGGCTTGATCGATAGGCATTTCAGAAGACATTTCGTGCTGAAATAAACAGCGAAGGAGATGAGAAACCTGTAATTATACCTGTAATGATGTGCATGATAATGGGATGCGTATGTAATGATTTCAAAGACTTTGGGAGATTTAAATTTGCAAACCAAGAAATAAACAAACTTTATTAGATTAAACTTGTAAAAGGTTCAACAATGCCCTTAAGGCGTTTACAACAAAATAAATGAAAAACAAATCTAAACTAAAAAGCAAAAATCAAAACTCCCATGGACGCTTCCCATTCGTGCTGACGTAGTCATTGATTGTCCTTTCATTCTCAAGTTTCCTGGTGAGATTCAAGATCTTCCTTTCTTGCTCATGATATTTCTCCCGGTAGGTATCTCTTTCCTTTCTCAGCTGAATCCAGGATCTCTTCAATGCCCCAAGATCAGTGGGCATGTAGGGATAAAGGACTGTATAAGGAATGCCCTCTTCATTGGTGGGCTCCACAATTACTGGAAACACAGCTTCATAAGGCATTCCAAGCTTCTGGGCATGAGCTCGGACCCATTGGAGATAAGGTTGCATAGGGAGAGAAGTCTTTGGTCATAGCTCTTGAGGGTCAGACCTGTTCACCATGCCCCAAGCTCGTATGAACCTCCGACGATGCTCGTCAACGCCCCCCTTATAGTCAAATGTAATATCTGTAAGAAGTAGCTCATGAGGACCGTCTCTCCGGGCACGACCGAATTTTCGCAAAGCTAAACAAGGACTGTAGGTTATTCCCCCTCTGATTCCAAGCAAAGGGACATTGGGATATCCCCCATAACGATCAATGACTGCAATGTTTTCCATAGCTTTAGAACTTTAAAGAATTTCTGTATGGGCAAGGGACATTATTCTGTAAGACCATCCTAAACCTTCCTCATTCTTCAATACAAACTTGGGGAGGTGCGAAATAAACCACCTCGCCAGCAAAGGCATGCAACACATGAGGGTCCCTCTTCTACGCACGGTACGAGTGTAGAGGGCATACAAAATATCACCCAGAAGAGTAGGTACAGGATTGCGAGACAGGAAGATCTTAACCGCATTCACATCTATGAAGGAATTTGGATTCAGGAAAAGAACCAAACCATAGATAAGGAGAGCCAGAATATCTTTGAAAGCCCGAAAATCCAAACTATCCCAGACCAGTTAAGCTTGATCTATCAGAAAGTTAGCTAAGAAACCTTCAACCCCGCTTCGTGTCTCCCAGTTGGATACTACATCAACCCGTTTTAGATATAGAGCTGAAGCAATGTATTATGGTTTAGGAGTATCTTCCAAAGATGTGAAGGGCATCTGCTCAAGGATGGATATGCCCAATAAGTGAGAAAACTCTGCCAAAGTAGGAACCAACTGATAATCCGGGAAAGTAAAGCAATGATGTACGGGATCGAAGAACTGGAAAAGCACACTCGTCATCTGCTCATTCAAATTTGAGGTAACCAAGCTAAGAAGCTGACCATGTCTCCTAATGAATGAAGAAGTATTAGAAACTCTCGAGGCTAAATCTTTGAGTTGAGCAGGTATTTGCACAAAGTTAACTTGGATGGTCTTTCTGCGCATGGAAGCCATAATATGCAAAACAGAACAAAGATAAATCCCCTCGGTATTTGAAATTGTTAGTGTAATGAAGTATGCATGCTATGTTATGATGCATGATGTCATGATAAAACACACAACAGGTATAGCAGATAGCAGACATGGTAAAGGAAAACAAGTCACACAAGAGCCCTTAAGTTTCAGGCTTGCATGGGGTCTAGGTACTACCCTCTTGAAGTTCAATTGGTTCAACCTGTCCTAATAATAGTAACCAGGTTCTAGAGGTTCTCAATATCACTGACCATCCTCCATTGGTCATGGTTTCAGCTCACGAAATCTTTTCTTACGGCCGGAACTATCTCGAGAGTATGGTCTCAATGAGTGTAGCATCGAGTATCAACCAGTTCTTAGCTCTATACCGAGGCCGATTATCTCACTACTTTCTAATGGCCAAGTTGGTTAATTATAGGTTCTAAGGTCAGTTGATGCTTAATGACACCACGCAGCGAACCCATATTCTTCTCGTTTATTCACAAGGGATACCGATACCAACCAATGTGCCACATCAATGTAGCTACTGCTTCAACCGTATCGGTATATGCCGTACAGTTCCCTCACAGTCTATTTCTACTTACCTACAAGGTGTCCCCAGATCCGGGTTAGGATCTATAGTAACTCCCAATACAAAAATCCTCAAAAGTAAAGCAATCAAATCAAACAAGAGAAGCAAATAATGATGAACTAATCCTAAGGTATACCCCACTTATTTTTCCCCCAGCAGAGTCGCCAGTTCTGTGATACGGTGGAAGAACCGACTGCTTTGGAAAATGCTGGTTTGCGTTTTGCGTTTTTATTCGCAAAATGTCACGGTAAGCAAGAGTCGCCACCAACTTTTATTTTATCCAACTGGAAAGGAAAAAAGCACAGAAAAATTCCTTTTTTGAGATTTTGAGTACGGGGGATAGATTATAGAAAGGGAAGGTATTAGCACCCTTTCTATCCGTGGTTTTCCACGGGCTCTTAGGTACTTGCTCATCATTTTAAAAATTGCTTCCGTGTTTGTGTGTTTTGAAAAGTTTTTGGTTTTACTTCGTTCTAACCCTTGTATCAGTCCTCAAGAGTGTTACGAAGTGTTTTTGAAAACTTTGTTTGAAAAGTGTAAGTGTGAAAAAAAAAGTTTGATCTTGAGCAAGTACCTACTAGCATCTACCTACTCTAAAATAGAATGTTTATGTTCTTGTTTCCTTTAGACATCGCTGCTCCACTATTAGTGAGTAGGTAACACCGTCATTGGAGTTGTAAGGGTCAATTTGAAAGGTACGTACGATCACTAAAGCAATGATAGGACGTCTTAGTAATAGCCCTAATGTCTTAAGATCATATTCGAGGCAACATTTCCGAGGCAACATTTCCGAACGGGACATTTGATCTTTGTTTGGACGAGAGGGCGACCACTAAAACACCCTATACTTAATGGTCGTTTACCGAAGGCAACCGAAGTGAGAG